ACTGCTATTACATGTACTGTTGTGCCAAGTTCTCATCAGCCTGGTATCTGTCTTATACAAGCGATCGCGGCCAGCAAGTGGTAGGCAAAAAGCGGGTGACGATTTGCCTACCAATAATTTGCATATGGCTTCAAATAATTTGCATGTATACGATGTAAACAACAACAGCGATCGCTCGTATTCTACATAGCTCCAGTCCATTCCTTTAAACAGTTAAACAGTCTGTCAGATTGTTTGTCAGGGAGGCATTTAGAGGAGCGGACTGGAACGAGAACAGGATGGATGCCAGGCTAAGCTCTCATACTGTCTCGTCTGTAGTCAACTGTTGCAGCACACAGCATGCTCCACCCTGTCTCATCACAATTAGTCGTAGAATGGAAAGACTGTACTTTTCTTGTTTCTGTAGGAAAGAAGAGCAAACTGTCTGCAGAGAAGATGGCTGAGATGCAGGCGGAGATTGAGCGGGAGAGGAAACAGCTGGAGGAGAAGAAGGACATGGAGGAGGAGGAGAAGAACAGGGTCCAGGCCGAGCTGGAGGCTCGAGAGAAGGAGCTCAGCAAGTCCAAGTACGTGGACGGAAAATGACTCTTCAGGCTGTTGTGACTCAAAATGTTCTCGAGAGTTGTTCTCATGGCAGGGTTTCATTGCATTTCATTGAAAGAAGCAACTTGAAGCAGGGACGTGTGGCGTGCAAACTGAACAAGTCAAAATGTGTGATTCAAGTAAGACGTGCTTCAACAAAATACTAGAAATGTGAAGGTGACACCAGATTATTAAACAATTAAATGGCCTTTTTAAAAAATCTGGATTACTTTGTTTTAAAAATTGTTAAAGTTTCTACCCATATTGTATAATGGGTGGAAACTTTGTTGCAGATTTCTTGTTCCCTGTCTAGTCTTGTCACCATTTAGTATAAAGTATAAGAAGACCATTTGTCTACAAAGACCACTTTTCCTCGGTCCCCTGGGTTGTCATCTTGACAAGTTCAACTGTACTTACCTCCATGTCTGTTGCCCCCCTCCCCCAGGCAGGAGCATGATGCCCTGGTGGAGAAGCTGAAGTCTATAGAGAAGAAGGTGATAGTGGGCGGGGTGGATCTGCTGCAGAAGGCAGAGGAACAGGAGAAGTTACTGGAGGAGTCTGCTCACGAACTGGCCGAGAGGAAGGCCAAGGAAGAACAACTCAGGAGAGAGCTGGAGGAAAAGGCTGTAAGTCTTTGAGATGCACTCTTTATTTGGTTGTGTGCTCAATATTTTAGATAAAGCTTGAGTACTGGTAAAACCAGTAATATTAACAAAAGGGTGTGTTCTGAAATTAGATAAGGATTTTACTAAAATGCTGTACATTCAAGCCTTGCATATACTTCAGCATCTAACTTGATTTCCTTCTTTCCTTCTATATGAATCTCTATATCTTTGTATGCAAAGGTAAATGTATTTCTTGAAAACGCAATTCAGTTGTATACCTTATCTTGTCTTCTCCTGACTGTTGATTTAATGATGATATTGAACTTGACATGACTTGATTTCAGGCCGAGAGAGTAGACATTGAAGAGAAATACTCCTCCTTACAAGAAGAAGCATCTGGGAAGACAAAGAAACTGAAGAAAGTTTGGACCATGCTCATGGCTGCCAAGTCTGAGGTAAACATTTCCAGATCTAGAGCATCCTTTACCATACTACAGTACTGCAAAAATTGATTAGGTACAAGTCTGATAAAAAGTTCACTACTCCGGTGGCCTTGTGCAACACAGAGTGTCATTTAGAGGGAGCATAAGACATTTTTCTGAGGCAGCTAGCTATAGAGCATCCACATGGTTCTGTTTTCTTTGAATAAGACATAAGAGCACCTAGTTTTGTCCTTTTCTATTTGAATAATGATCCTGTCAATGTTATTACTTTTTCTATTGTTATGAGGAGGTTCTCAAGAAACTATGTTAATTTGTCAAATTGTTCAGGTACAGCTTACCTAAACCTCTGTACTGGTACCTGTACCTGTACCTGTAGCTGATGTTATGTTTAGGTACGCAGCCCTGCTAACCATTGTTTCCTTGGTACTTACCTGTAGATGGCAGACCTTCAGCAGGAGCACCAGAGAGAGATGGAGGGTCTACTGGAGAACATCAGGCAGCTGGAGAGGGAGCTCCGCCTACAGATGCTCATCATCGACAGTTTCATCCCTAAGGAATTCCAGGTAGTCTAGCAGTAAAACCCTAAATGCGGTGCTCAAAACCCCCATACAGTGCTTTTCAGGAAAGGTGTTTAAGAAACCCTGATTATCTGCTTTCTTGTAAAAAGTGTTCAAGTACATATACGTAAAGTTACTAATTCAAGGCATTTCTTTTCTTAATTTCAATTCTTAATAGAATTGGTGGTAGACAAAACAAGTGGCATTTGTGACTGTGTTGTAATTGTTGATGAATATGGTGTCATGTGAGCACACCTTTCCACAGTAAATAAAACAAAATACAACTGTACTAACATTACCACAGAAGTTAATCAGTTATATCTGATTTCGCCAAAATGTCCAATCATCGTAGGAATACCTCAATATTGTTATTGCTTTACCCACATTTTCGCCAAAAAAGGACAAGGTGTTCAGCATCCTCCAAACTGGGCAGTCAGCCAAGCCAGTAGGGAACGACTTGTCTTTGTTAAAGTTGTCATGCCATGTGGTTGTCAATCACTGTTCTTTATTCCCTTTAAGCCAAAGCACTGGGTTTTCTATAGACTATGTTTGCTTGGGTATCTAAATTAGTAGTGCCAGTTCCAATGAGGTGTAAAAGCGGTGTTGTTGTTGAAAAGCATGGAAACGCATCATAAGTATACACATGTCATGGTAGATAACCCATTCCTCATGTGTGACTTTATATCAGTCATATATCAGTCATATATGCATCTCTTCTGTAAGGCACATTCACTCCCAGCCTAGAGCCCTGGTCTGTGCACTTGCAAGATAACTCTTCCTGATGTGTTCTTGATACTAGACTACACTAGATTTCTGATTACTGCTCTTGTTTTGTTGCTGTAGGAGATGATAGAGAATTATGTGACCTGGAATGAAGAGATAGGGGAATGGCAGCTGGTAAGTCTGGTTTGTTTGAAACATGATTTTAAAAAGTGTACAAAATCTGTTTGAATGTCATAACTGCCTTCATGCAAAAGCAAAATTACATACATGTAGTTGATCTATAGTGGAACATATGGATGTTGCAATGAGGCTGACTAAACTGTTCCATTGTTTTCCAGAAATGTGTAGCGTACACAGGAAACAACATGAGAAAACAGACCCCCTTCCAGACAGGGACAAGTCAAAGGAGGTACACTGTCCATCTTAGCTTTTCACATTATGATAACATGATACAAAATGAAAGATGTAACTTAACATGTGGTTGTGATCTATCTTTGCTAATGAATCATCATTTTCTGTATCCAGAGACTATAATTTAGAACACTTTTGCTAGAAAAATTTTGAGACTTTTTTGTACTCCATCATTCCCAGCTGAGAGATACAGACCTGTCCGGTGCGTACCTGGCCTACACTGAGGAGGGCGCCCTGAAGGCATCCTTACCCAGACCCAAGACTGGCAAGTCAAAGTCAGGCAAGTCCAAGTCATCCAAGTCCAAAAAGTGAGTACTAGTATAACATATACATCACCTTCAATCTGGCTGTTTGAAAAGATTACCTTCCATCTGAGCCACTGTTTCCTAATAGTCTTACCGGGTAATTTTTGTATTACTTACTGCCAGTTTTTAAATTTTACGTTTAACTTATAATTGTTATTTATCATTATTTGATTGTATATACATGTATGTTGATATAATATATATACTACACATCATCAGCTACGAGCTGCCTAGTGCCCTCATTGTAATGTCTTGTTGCAATCCCAATAAAGTCAAAGTCAGCTGTTTTGAACTTTTCTTTTAATTGCAATGTTTGGTTAGTATGGTATATATACATCATGCTATGATGATTGCACAACAAAATCAATCCTGTTCTCTTTACTAAGCTTTACATGTTACAAACTGTGTTTTTCAGGAAACAGCGAGCTTCTACAGACATTGACGCACTTCTCCAGTGAGGTTTTTGCCACACTTTACAGCAGCATCATGCCAGGAAAAACAGCAACTTACTACCTACACCAGCAAAGCATGTCTTCTCAGTCAGATCCGTCCATGTTTAAAAGCCACAGTTGCCTACTTCTGATTTTGCACGTACAATTATGGACCAAGAGCAGGACTGCCCTTTTAAACAAGTCATGTAATGTTACATTAACATTACCAATTGTGTAAGACTGTAAGGTATAAACTTAAGCACAAGCACAAGAAACAGCAGTACATGTACCATTTGTGTGATTACAATATCTAATACTAGTAACAGTCAAAAGTCTTGCATTGTACGTTTTGAAAAATCGTTTTGCTACACTTAGAAATTACAAATTTGTCATAAGGAAAAAAGTGTGCTTCTCATGACACTATTTAAGACACCTTTTATACAAATGAAGGTATGACCACAAAAGCAGCCTTACAGCAAGGATCTGTTCACAATCATTTTTCAGTTGAAGAGGTTGTATTGGATTAACCTAACTACTGATTTCTCCTGTGTCCAATACAAATATAGACTGAACTATTCTTTAGCAACCAGCAGGTGCTACAATGTACCTTGTGATTTTCTGTTATAATGTATGAGATTTTGTATTATGTTGTAGGTGAAATCAGGTGCATAGAGAACATTATAGTGACATGTTTGTATGTTGCACATTGGTGCCGTGAGCTGGCTCGCAGCAAATAGAAAACCTGACTTGTAATCAAACTCTGGGTGTACATAATTTACCTTACAGTTATAGAATCGAATGAGAACTGCAACAATGTCTTCAGTATCCAAACCATGTGTGACAATGTCTTTTGTTCAATCTGATATTGGTACTCAATATTGTATATCAATACCTCATATCAATAATACCATCTATAGAGTTTCTTTGGGACCTGTATTGCCGAGATAGGTGTCCACCTGTAGTAGGATTCCTAGTGCCTGAACCCCGTGCTCTCCCTTCGGGCTGCATCATCAGGGTAGTAGCTGTCCAGTTGTGGCAGATTCTCTAGTGCCTGAATTTCCTCTCTCCTCCATGAAGGCAGTCTAGGTGAGCTGATTGGTGATACCTTCCCCAGCGGCGGTTCTTTCTTCTCTTTAAGGACACCTTTCTTTACTTTACCTGAGAGAGGAATTGAACAAGGTTAGCGTGGAACCAAACTTTGAAAAAGTGTTCACTGGAACATTCCATGCTGTGTATTCTATGAGGATAGCCATTGGGTGCCATCAATAATCAATATACCATTGTAGCCAGCGACATCAGGGAGCTGGCAAAAACTATGGAGGATGGTACTCAGGCTATCTTTAGACTGAATTTTCCAATAGGTTTTAAAAATTGTTGCCCATGTTTTTCTTTCATAAGACAAATCAGTAACATGTAGCACTATTGTAAACAAAATAGGAACAATACTCATTGTGGTAGATAACTTGTAGTAAGATGTTCCTACCTTTCTTGGTGAAGCAAGCGATGTTGACGTCTGACCCGAAGGTGGCTAAACTGCGAGCTATTCTTGGGTTGATGGAGTGAGCAGCGTACTGCATGGCGATGGCATACTCCTGTGGACATGGATGCAAGAAAAATTTTAGCAAAAAAAGGTCTGACGATATGAAAACTAGTACTGCTAAGAAGATTGTCCCATATTCAGCAGTACACCTTTCCACTTTGTTAATGTTACACTTTTCTGCAATTACATCTTTAGTAAATACATGGATACTATAGATATTACTCCATTAGTTTTCACAAACAAACAAACAAAAAACACATACATATACATTTTTACCAAGCTCCCTGGATTTTTAAAAAGAAACAATACAAATACATGTTTAGTAAATAGAAATAACTGATTATTCCATGTAGAAAGACAACCATCTATAACATTGTACTATTTTGTTAGAGAGTTAATGTAGGCAGTGATATGGTTTACACAACACATACCGTGTTTCTGCGGTGCACGTTGGACCCGTACGCCAACAGAACCTGCACCATCGCGAGGCGGTTCATTCTGGACGCCATGTGCAGGGCTGTCTCCTGGAACTGGGCAAAACAAACATCCTTTGAATCACATCGAGCTTCAAAACTTTAAATACGGCAGCAGAGATTAATTGAACAGTCTTCAGCAGTTCTTTGCATTTCGCCCAAACACTGGCATTTGTTAGATTCATTTCTGTCAACTTAGGAGCGCCCCTCTTGTCTCCGTGCGGTCGATACTATACTGCAGTTTAGTACTTACTTTGTTCTGTATGTTGACATCTATCCCGCCTTCCACCAGAGATTCCATCGCCTCCTGGTGTCCGCTGGATACAGCCCAGTGAAGGGCAGAGTTCCCGTCCTGAAACATACCAGTGTTGATTAACCAGTCAGCACCAAGGACAGAACCCACAACTCTTTTAATTTTGAAAGCTTGAGGATTGCCTTCGGAAGTTGCAACCTGTATTGATTTTTTTATCCTGAGAGTTTGTAGCAATGTTATGTCATAAAGTAACTGACAACAACAAAATGCAGCAAAATCGCGACTACCTAACACATGTACCTGATCCACGGCATCCATGTCCACCCTGAGGTCGATGAGCGCGTCTACCGCCGGTGCGTACCCTGCCCCTGCCGCGTGGTGCAGCGCCGTCGTGCCCTTCTGTGGGGCGGAAACAACGGGAGATCAGTCTGGGCCGTGACGGAACGTTTCATGTATTTTTTTTGCAACGCTTCTAATACTATACTAGTACCTTCAAGCAGACCTTTCGGTGATTGCAAAGACAGTATCAAATTGTCCAGGCAGTACTATCCATTTGCCCGGACAGTTGCCATTTGGCATCCGTGTGTTAGGCTGGGATAAAAAAAGATACCATTACGAAAAAGAGAGCCCGAGAAAACTCCTGAAACACGCCAAAAATACGTCCAAGCCTGAACCTCTGTTTGGAGAGTACAAAGCCTGGAGACGACAAAACAGTCTTTTCTGATATGTGGTCAAAACTAACAAAGTGTTTTCAACTCTCTACACATCTTTGGGCGAGGATCGCAGACTTTTTTTGTGTTCTGTAGTTCTGAAGTTTATCTCTGTCCCGGTACCGGTACCTTGCTTTGGATGAGGATATCTGCGCCTTGTTGCACCAGCAGAGCGGCCGTGTGAGAATGTCCGTACAGCCCAGCATGGTGGAGCGGGGTTTCCCCAGCCTGAAACCGTACAAGAGTGGATCCCGGAGTTATAGTACTTATACTCTACTCTATAGTCCCGGTGAGTTTGGTTAAATGTAGCAGAAACGTTATCTTATTCAAAATCAGCTTGCATTTGTCGTTAAAATCATCTCCATTGCTAACCAGTGGAAAAGTCATTGCAGTGAAAGTACTTGTAGTACATTGTATTAATTCACCTCGTTTAAAGCATCGAGGTCGGCACCGTTTTGGATGAGGTAGAACGCCGTGTCGGTGCGCCCTCTTGCGGCGGCGTGGTGTAGAGGACTGTCACCTATCTAGAAAAATACAGCAAGTATAATTGTACAAATTGTGAAGCGTATCATCCGAAGATTATAAATCTAGATATACCTGGATGTTTAACTCCTAAAATATGAAATTCAATATGATTTTAAAGTGAATGTGCTTCAAAGTGCATCCTCAGAACAATACCAAACTGTTCCTACCTTGTTTCTGATGTTGATGTCTGCATCATTTTCTACCAGGATCTTTGCACATGAGGTGTGGCCTCCTAGCGATGCTGCGTGTAAAGCAGAATCACCACTCTGAAAAAAAACAATATCAAAACTATTATTTTTACATTTTCCTGATGAAGACTGCACATTTCATATAGCCGATTCTCCTACATCACAGACAGATACACAAATACAGGAACATTCACTCTAGAATCTAGAATAAAGTCCCGTACCGTACACAATTCACACCCTGCATGATAAATTTCTAACTACAGTTGTAGTAGATCTGTTATGTAATTGTACTAAATGTTTCTTTTAAACTTCAAAAAGTTTGCATCTGTATTTGAATTGTATGAAAGCTATAGCTGATAGAGTTAATAAAGTATCCATGCAGAAGCTATTACTAACACAGGTGTCAAGTACTAGTAACGTAGCCATTCTTTGCAACTAATGATGTCACAACATCATTGGCAACACCAAATTTGTCACAGTTACAAACAGTAACAGTAACACCCCTACCTTCTGAGCGCCCTGTGCGTTGACGTTTGCCCTGTCCTTCAGCACCAGGTTCCTGACCAGCGTCTCCAGACCGTAGAACGCCGCGAAGTGCAGAGTCGACTCTACCTCAGGGGTGAACTGGGCAGGGGAACAACCATGAATTTTTAAATGAAGAGTTTGCGATTTATTATGAAACAACATCACTATTATTTCAGACAGGCATAATTTTGAATTACGATACTTTTCTTGATTGCATACTGGTTTTATAGATCATTGTCTTGTGAATTTGCCCACCTGTTCGATGTCTTCCTCCGCCTTCTCCAACAGGAAGATGGTCTCGGAGTGAGCTGTGTTCTCGGGCTCAGACGCCTTCATGTTCCGTGCCAACTCTATCGGAATTTTCCCAAACTGCAATAACAATAAGAAAAACGCACATATAAAGTATGTTCATCTGATAGGAGGACACAAGAGTTAATAGAATTTTCATAGGCATGGTAGATTTGAAATCCTAGGCCTACTTTTGACACAAAACTAACTTAACGAACGAACCAACCAACCAACCAACCAACCAGCGAACCAACCAACCAACCAACCAACCAACCAACCAACCAACCAACCAACCAACCAACCAACCAACCAACCAACCAACCAACCAATCAACAAATTGAATCAAAATGATACAGTACATGTATTACTAATGTGTACCGTAAAGATAATGGGCAAGAGCCAAGCCACTACGTAGCCACCCTTCCTCTAGTTCCACCCTCCACTTATTTACGTATACACAAAATACCACACAAACGCCCGCTACCTTGTTTTTAGCCTGTATGTTTGCCCGGTAACAGAGCAGCCGTTCTACATGTGCCACGTGACCCAGGCAGGCTGCTAAGTGAAGAGCTGTGTCCTGGTCCTACAAAGAGCAGCAGAAATGGCGAGAGAAACTAATCAAATGTCAGACATTGAGTAAACGGGAGCGGGACATACGGGAAAGGTCTTTACGGCAGTGTCTGACCTTGGTGCTGAAATGTGCTTTCAGTGTTAGGTTTGCAACTTTTGCCATTACAGTTACTAGTATAACAAAAAAAAAACAACTAAGTATATTGAAATGGATTGATTTCTGACTGATGTTAAACGAATTCATGGGTTATGTGACGGGAAATTAACAATAAGTTATTTTTTCTGTCTAAACTTGTACCTTGTTTGTAGTATTTGCATCCGCGCCATGTCTCAGTAGTTCTCTAAGCGCGAAGAATTGGTCCCATTCTGTAGCCAGATGTAGGGGATAATCTCCGTTCTGGAATAGACCGTCAAAAAAGAACATTTAGGTATGACAATGTAATTTGCTATTAAACTTTCTTTCCATCACTACAATTGTTGAAAAAGGGAAATATCTATGAGTGTAACTGGGACGGTGTATTTGACGGTATGATCGTGATTGTGTGCCCACCTTGTTGACGGGGTTTCGGAGAGCCCTGTTCTCGCACAGCACTGCTACCACAGACGCATGCCCAGTACGGGCAGCACAGTGAAGGGGCGTGTCGTCGTCCTGAAACATGTGTGACGTCAGATTGATTGACAGTCAGAATGCTAATAATAAATATTACGAGGAAGTTGACAAGGTGGAAATTATCAACATGGCCACTCAATGTATTTTGTCGCATTAAGACAGATATCTTCAATATATATGTTATTATATTCACTACCGTGTGCTAATAGGGCCTATATTATTTCTCTAACAATAAATTATTTACGTTATTAAAATGAAACATTGTAAACATGTAAGACTATACCTCGTTCCTGATGTTAACATAGGCGGCGTATTCGATCAAGATCTTTGCGACTTCCGGGTGACCTTTAGTGCCTGTATGGTGCAGAGGGGTGTCTCCGAACTGAAAAAAAGTTGTTTTGATAACGCACACATAGTTTCTCTGTTTTCCTTTCATTTTTTATTATCTACGAATATCTGTATCTGTATAGCCGGTATAACCGCCCTTCGGCGTAACGCACCAGCTTCCCAGCGGCACGCGGCGCGGCGGCAGCTGGCTACATTACACCGAACGACTTGTTACGCCTTTCCCAAGGGCACAAGATCGGTGACATGGGTAGGTTTCGAACCCGGGACCTCTTCGTCCGTAACACGCTACCGCTACGCCACACGACCCCAAGAGGCTAAGAAAATATCACACCGATATCCATGTATGTACTTACATCATTGGTAATGTCCACGTCGGCCAGTAACGACAGAAGTTTAGCGGCGACATCTACATGACCTTTGGCAGCAGCCATATGCAGGGCCGTGTTTCCGTCCTGTAGAAAACGTTACGTGACGTTACATTACAGTCACAGATGTCAGATCCTCACCAACAGTGCCCTAGCATATATGTTCTGTGCTAAGATCTAGACTTGACATTACATCATTCACACAGATCCTAACCAGCGGTGCACTAGCTAGAAAACGTGAAGAATCCAGCCGGAATTACACCATATTCATCGGATGCATAGGGACATACCTGTTCGATGCTAAGACTTGACATTGTATTATTCAATATAAAGATCATGTAAAGAGTTTAAGTAGAAATAGATTTAGGATAGTTATCACTTCGTTTCTCTGTCAAGTATACATACATTGAAAACCTTTTTTTCGTTGGTTTTATTTGCAATTAGCCTTCGGGCATGGTCTAGCAATAAAGCTATCAAGTATTTTCATTATCGATATGTGTTAATCATTTTTATGGGAAACTGCTCACGTGTTCCTTGGCGTTGACGTTGGCTAACAGCTCGTGGTACCGCTCCACCAGAGCACAGTCTCCGTTCCTTGCGCCGTGGAAAAACGTCTTGGATATCACCTACAGGAGAATTTCAATGATTGGTCGATTCAAAATATAACGGTGGGTTACGTAGCAACGTCAAACGTACCGTTATTTTTATTTTACTCATTGGACACCACGTAACAAGACCCGAAGGCCACTCCAAGGTTACGGGTTAAGTATCAGACAGAAACAGCATCTTTTCTTCCTAAGTCAGAAACATCATGATAATCTTTGCATCATCAGCTGATTCAACAAGATACGAAAAGCAAAATACAAAACTAGTCAGTCAAATTCTTTTGAGATCATCTTCTCTTACTTACCAGGTACCGTCTGAAAGTGTCCCCTAAGACGTAACAAAAGGCGTCTAACATCGTGTCGTCCTGTAGGTACCTCCGCCTGTACCTGTCGTACAGATAGTACACAGACGGACGGGTCAGCTCCAGGTACCGGCGGAGCTTCTCAAACTTCGGGTGGGAAAGGCGCTTCAAGCCCGGTCCTATAGAGGGACACAGCGACAGACATATAATTGCTAGTGTTTGCCAAAAAGTTACAAAGTGGAAGGGGGTGACTAGCGAAAAACACCACAATGGTACAATGAAGAACATACTGTGTCTTGGAAAAGTTTAAGAACATAACGGAGAATTATCTCGTAAATTTTGTAGCAGGTTTTCATGTAACTTGTCAACAATGTGTTCGCATGTTTTGGCAAAGAATTACGCAGAGACTTACTAACATGTGATTTCAATGAAATTGTTATATTTACTACTATATAACTGGACAATATTTCATCCAAATACCAATGATATTGGTCTATTGGGTAGTGTGAGAATGTCTTCCTTCTCAATACGATGTTTTGGAATATATCTTGTCACCACACACACACCTTCTTGTTTCACAGAGCCCTTCAACTCTCCCGCTTTCCTCTCTGCAAACGGAAGCACCTCGTCCTCTAACGTCTGGTGCCTCTGACACGACACTAGGATCTCCACCAGCAGACTCAGGTCCGTCTCGGTCACCAGCTGTCGTGACACGAGGACGTCAATCAAAAACTCCGCCGTGGGTGGGGCCACGTTCGGGACCAGTCGGGTTTCTTCGGGGAAATATTCTTCGCACAACAGTCGGACGTGTTCGGCATGCCCGACTTCCAGGTCCGACGCGACACGAGACAGGAGATCGGGGAAGGAAATGGTGCTCTCCTTTGCCATACTGTAGTGTCCAGATTTTCTTATTCAGCTAACAATTTTCTTTCAAAGTTTCATGGTGCGTTGTTTTACGCCGCCTTGCACAAAATTCTGTTGAAAATGAACATACGAAAAATTAGATACACAGGTCACTGACTACTTTCACGCCGGTAGGTACTAAGTAGTAGTAGTACACATGAGTATGTACAGTGTGATATCTCTGTAAATTAGCTGTACTTAGCTTTTAAGAGCATAAATGTACAATAAATATATCTCATTCATTCAGTATAGTAACACTCCAAATAGGCTTTGTACCATATGGACATTTGGTAGTACGTTGCTTGTTTTCCCTTTAGCATTAACTTTGTGAAAATCCTGAATCTGACTGTATATAGAGTCATCAGTTATGAGGACCATTAACAGCATGACAGCTGAACGTGTTTACAAACGGTATCGCTATTGAGAAGGTACAACTGACCGTTGAGTAAACAATAAACAACTTGAGAGGGCACAGCCTGTTCCTGAGAGGGTTTTCACCTCACTTATGACTGTTCAATTGCCCCAAGTGTTCCTTTTCGTTACTTCTGATTAGGAGTAGTATACAAGCGTGAAGTTCCTGTAACGTTACATGTTATGTTACGGGTAGAGGGTTTGAAAAAAAAGTAGGAGATCTTGCCTCAAAATACCCCAAACAAGTGAGATTTGCAAAAATACTTAGCCCACAAGTCCATATCAAAATTTGAAATACAGCTATCTTAGATAACATATACAGTTACCTGAATGTATTATATAGTTAACACCTCTTCTTATATTCTTGTGTGATTCCGCCCTCCCACCTGTCGCCGCTCACCTGTTGCCCTACCTGTACGGGGTCGTAACCATGGAAGCGTGACATTACACCTAGTTGGGTCGAACCATTCATGCATAGGGGGTAGGGTACTTGTTTCAATACACGAAGAAGTGAATCACACGATCCGTACACACACTTTCATATCTACTTGGATCAATTTTCCTTATATCTTCATAATGACCAGTGTGCGATATTAATGGTACAGTACAGGTTGACACCGCCACTGTTCATTATTGACATGTAGCAAACAAAAAAGCACAATAATAGACAAAGAATGGTGATTCGACCATTTTAATTCAACAAGAGGTGCTCAATACCATGTTCTTGCACAGTATCCATTGAAACATCAAGTATTCGTTTGCCAATACATCCTGTTGTATATACAGGCAAAATCATTGTCTATTTTAAAGGAAATATACTTGTCACAAGAGTAATATTTACGATAGGGTCACACTAGTACTGAACTGTCAACGTATGACATTTGCTTTTTTTTAAATTTCCTCCATATTCAAAACAATCCGTCGCTTCCACTGGCTATCTTTGATACATTTTACACGGTATCAATGTTGAGCATAGTTTGACAGAAAGAACTTACGATCGTGGTTTCTGACACTTTGTGGCATGAAACATACAAACGAAGTCACAATCGTTACATTTTAGTAATCAGTTTTCTCAGCCTGGCACTGTCACCTCTTCCTGAAGAAGTCCGTAACTGTCGTCTGTTTTACCGTCTTAGAACTTGACCGCATAAGTCTCTCCTGGCACCACTTCTCCTCCAAGGCGTTCTCAGTGTTCAAGATGTTATCCAAGACTTCCGTGTGCCCCTCCCTTACAAAGAATTTCTTTAGTCTCTTCAGACAATGCAGCGCTTCTGGAAGGTCTGTTATGTCGTCTGACTTGTGTCCTTCTGTCTCAGACGCTGCTTCCCTGTCGAACTCATCTTCTAGAGATCTCTTCCTTTTCCTCTGCCTGTTGTTTCTGTCGTGTCCGACACTGCTCGGGCGGTGCTGGATGAAGATGGGTACCGGTTTGGCGTTGCTGCCGAAACTGTCGTTCAGGTCCAGCGTCTCCAAGCCCTGTTGTATCGTGATGAACCGAACCCGGCGCGGCTTGTTAGAGTCGACGTTTGGCGGCATCGTCACAAACTGCCTGCTAGCTCGTCTCAGAGTCAGCGGTGGAGATAAATGACTTGTAGAAGCGCAGATGAAGGCTGTTTTATACTCCGGTGGAAGTTGTCTTTGCCTGGCGTCAGTAGTCGCGTTACACACGCCATGTACCATTGTATGTGAGAAATGTTGAGAAATGAACAATACAGCTGAAGCCATTGTCTTCATTGACGGCGACGACCTGGAGCCTTGCATTGAGTCATCAGACAAGTTTCAGACATGCCAAACCAGAAAATCTGGAACTACTACTCAGTGACTGGAAGTCTCGTTGCGCATGACCTTTCACGGTCATGAAAAAAATGAGATAAACTTCTTCTATCGATAAAATAAAATGAAAAGGTAAGGCCTGTTATTGTAGAGTTACGCCCATTATTTACCCGTAACGTACTGTCATGTCACAGCCAGCATTTCACAGAAACTTGCTGATGAAGAACTGTTAACTTTCAGTCCATCTCCGCAATCTGACTTAAATGTTTCTTCCTGAAGAAGTCCGTAACTGTCGTCTGTTTTACAGCCTTAGACCTTGGTCGTACAAGTTTTCTCTTACACTTCTCCCCCAAGACGTTCTCCAGCTCCAAGACGTTGTCCAAGACGTCTGTGTGCCCCTCCCTCACCACAAACGTCTTTAGTTTCTTCAGACACTGTAGTGCCTCTGGGATGGTTCTGACATCTTCTGGGCCCTTTTCCCTGGCGTTCAGCGATGATTCCGTCTCAAAATCGTCTTCCAGTGACCTCTTTCTCTTCCGCTGCGCGCACATGTTGTCCTTCACCTCGAATGTTTTTCCTGAGTCGGTCCCGGTGTCGCTGCAAAATCTGTCACCCAGTTCCAGCGCTTCTAACCCCCGCTGTAGCGCGCAAAACGGGCTCCTGTGTTGTTTTGTGTCTTTTTTGGGTGGCATCGTTGCGATGTGGTGCAATACAAGTGGTTGACTTAAAGAGGAACACAACCGTGTTCTTTTAACATTTGCCAGGCACAAGACAACATTGTCTGCCCACCAAGCAAATTGCCGTTATGCCCAAGGGCCAATTTACACTGTTAACTATCTATAAGTGTGATCATCTGGTAACATGGATTCTCCAGTGGGCCTTCTCAAAACAAGAAAAACCGGCAAACAACAAAATAGCAGCTATACACAGTGGAATAGTAACAAAGTAATGTAAATCTGCTCGGTGCTCTAATTGCTCTGTTTACAGGTAATTACACTATCTGTTAATTGGTCCTTGTTAAAAATGATATGCAAGAAGGGAACCTGAAATAAGGTTTTTGAAAGCAAAAAGACCTCTTTGCTGAAAGCAAACCCTCCAAAGAACAACATTTCCGTCAGATTTGACTTGGACCATAGTTGAGAAAGCTGATGCACGACTTAGTCATGTAAAGTTAGAGAGAGGACGTTTTTATTTGATCATGATGTATAGGATAACAAATAGATTGGTCTGACAACATAAAATGTGTAATTGGGCTAAGGCTGCAACTGTTGACTGTCAAGCATATTGGTACTTACTACATGCACATATTTCATAACAACATAGTATGAAAATCAGTTGCCTAGATATCTTTACAGTAAATAGCTTAACTAGTATAGTTATTGTTCCATGAATGTTTTTCTTGAAAACCCTTGATGCCCATAGTATCAACAGAAACATGTCCCCTTTCTGTTCCTATACCATATGTAGAACATCTATTTGTATCATACTGTTAGGTTTAAGAAAAGTAACATATGAAGCATCTTGCTCCTCTGTACATGAGCAGTAATACAAAGAGTAAATAATATTGACATGTTAAAGTGTTGACATATTAATGTTTAAAAAGTGTCTACCAGTAATTACAGCAAGACATTTTACATGATTTGTTTTCTTTTCAAAGTTAGTTGGAATCATTCAAATGCGAGCCTGAAGCTGTGTTCCTGCTCCTTCCTTTGCACTTCACACTGTTTGGCAACTTCATCCACTTTCCTCTGCAACACCGCTGGAAAGTAGTATAGAAAACACAGTTTGGATCATAAGTTTGAGACATGGCAGTGCTAGAAAATATTACCAAGGTTGTAGACAGGATGGATCCAAACTTCAAGAAACATATGGTTGACTAGTAAAAAAATAATGCAACAATTTATGAATGGCAAACAAAAATGCTTATTGTTCTAATGAAAACCATCCATTTTTTGTTGTAAAAGTTTTCTGTTCTACTTTATTCAAAATACAGGTTAAATACTACTGCTTCCTAAAGATCTGTCTGTGTTATGCTGAAGGGCGGTTATGTCAACTAAACAGATACATATCTAAGTGATTATTTACAAGTGAATAATAATGTTCTTACCTGCATTCTGGTCCAACCACTGTAAGGAGTCCATGTGTGCGTTCAGGATTCTGGCAATCTGGTGAAGCTAGAGGGAAGAAACAGAGAAGCTCAAGACTGCTCTACATTCCTGGTTATCATCTATTACTTAGTATCAGTGTTTCTAAAGCAACCATCACTATAAAGAAGTAGAGGAAATCCTCTCCTCTCTTGCATATCATCTGATGTTTAAATGCTATACAATAATCCAAAGTAGAGTGAGGTCCCAGGCCTACAGAATGTCATGCTTGTAGCGGAGGAAACAAAATTCTTACTGGGTCATTGCTGGTGTTTGGAGCTCCTGATTGGTTGAGGTGTTCTATGATGTCCTTGATGTCTTGCATCATTCTCTTGAGCTGTGCATCTGTGTTCTCAGCTAACTGGTACCTGTGTGTGTACGGGCAACAGTACAGTTTCATTTCACTCTACCCACCAAAGACCTTGTCATGTATTACCCGTGTTGGAATACTGTGTGCCAGTCAGCGGCTCACCTATGTACAGTAAGACAAACTCAAAGCAGTACAACGGAGAGCAGTTTGGACAATACTACTAGGTGGATGCTTCACAACCTATGAACAAGCCAGGAAAGACTAAAACCATCCACTGCTCTCAGAGCGTAGACAGAAACTGTGCCTCAAGTTTGAGATTCACTTCAAAGCCCACTAACCATCAATACTACCAACAAAGGGATCGGACTATCATGGTAGAATCACTAGAAACAGAGACAAATACCGGACAAGAAAATGCAAGACAAACCGACTTCGAAACATAACTAACATACCCGTAACTAAGATGGAGAAAATTTGACAATTGTATAGATGGAATTGAATAGATGGAAGTCCTCACGTATGTTCTCTCTCCAGGTCGGCGTGCTGCTGGTAGATGGAGGGAGCCTGGCTCTTCACAGCGCCCTCTAGCGGCTGTAGCATGTCCTCCAGCTCCCGCTGCTGTGCAAGGATGAAGTCCAGCTCGTGGTCCAGCCGGCCCTGGTCCAGCTTCACACGCTGCACCGCCTCGTTCAGGGCTACAATCTGGAACATGTCAGAGTGGTGTTAGAAACATATAGATACCCCGAAAATAATTTCATCAAGTTGGTAGGTCCTGCAAACTGGACCCGACCCTGGGCCAAGTTGTGGCTGGCAAGTATTTCTGATGTCTACCTGCACCTAACCTGCATGTCCATGTACATGAACTATCCATGTACAGTCAATATACAAATGTAGGGGTATGTGCATGTTATTTGCTGCAATCACTGTTACCACCTACCAAGTATAAAATAAATAATGGTAATGGTTTCTGAACAGTTTTTAGTATGATCCAAACTTCTCAAAGTCTGAGTGGTGCAGGTAAAATTTGTCTGGTGCAGATAATTTAGAAAAAAGTAATTTGAGCCCTGCAAGTACCAGGCATTATTACTGACCTTCTCCCCGTTCTCGATGACCTGTCTGTCCCAGGCGTTGACCTGCGTGGCCTGGTGCAGGAAGGTTCTCTCTGTCTCCTCCAGCTGGACACTCCACTTGTTAATCTTCTCTTCCAGCTGGGTGAAGGTCATGGTCGGGCCTTTGGTGGCACTGTGGAAAAAATGACAACATTATAACCACACAGTTGTCATGGTCAGAACTTAGTGGCGCTGTGGAAAAAACAACAACAGCATCATAACCACCATTTAATCATCATTTGATTAAATGAAGACTCTCCTACGTCCTAACTACATGTACAATACATTATGGATACCAGATACATGCTATTTTTCAGCCCCTTCTTGACTAAGCTTACCTGGCAGCTGTAGTTGTTGCAGCTGTGCTTGCAGCAGGTGCAGACGTCTGGGCACCTGCCAGTGAGAAGGACGTGTTTGTAGTGGGCTTGACTGCAGCGACTCCCGACAGTAACCCAGCTGCAGTAGTTCCCCCTGCAGTTGTAGCTGCAGTGGCACCAAACGTCAGGGATGTTGTAGGTTTGGCTGCAGCTGTTGTTGCAGCAGTTGTGGCAGCTGCGCCAAAGTTCAGGCCTGTTGGTAGCTGTGTGGTGGTTGTAGCTGCTGCTGTAGCCTTGGCAGCTGAAACGGCAGGGGTGGCGCTGGCTGAAACAAGAAAGACATAAATAATAACAGTTTTTAACTTCTAAATTCTTCTGCAATTAACCTGTATGTGTTGCATAATGCCTCAACGATTGGTCATAAGCAGCCTTGTTATTTATAGCAATGCAAATTGATGAAGACATTGCATGTTGCCTTTTCATGTACTTACAAGGCAAGAAGGTATAGGGAAGAAAGACTTTTTAAAAAATTTCCACTTAAAAATTTTACAACAATGTACAGAGAATATGGGAGATGAAACATGATTGAGTTATAGAGAATAATGAAAAGCTTAATATCTAAATACCTATTTCTTTCAAGCATTTTTACTCTCAATACGTCAAAGCAATGTACTGATATGTCCATACTGACCTGTCGTGGTCCCTCCTCCAAACAGGACACTTCCAGTTGCCGTGGCTACAGGCGTGGCCCCCAGTACCAGCCCTGTCGGCACGGTGGTACCTGTGGTGGTAGCGGGGGTAGCGGCAGACACTGCTGTGGTCTGGCCGAAGGAAAAGCCGGGGGTGCTGGTCGTCAGGGGCTGACTGAAGCTGAACCCTCCGCTGTTAGTCTGAGGAGTTGGTGTGGCAAAAGCAGCTGCAGGCATCCACAAAAAAAAAACACCTTTCTTAGTAACGTTTTCCTCAGTATCATTTCAACAAAGGTTTTAACACTGTGATACTGGATAATATCTCTTGTTATTCATCTATGATCTAGCACAGGATGGAAGTATAACTTCATATGTACAAACAGTGGTACAAGTCTGGTTACAATCTTACTACCAGTACATCTGTAGCATATTTCGCCTGGGTGCCATCCTGTTTGAATGCCGGGACTCCCATACTCGCTTCTAAAATTTTTTAGGGTTATGGGAGCCCTGGCATACAAATAGGATGGCACCAAGGCTATGGCATACTAGCCATAAAAATGTAGTAGTATGTACAGGTCCAGCTTCTTCTTGCTTCTGAAGACAGCTGTAGGTATAAGACCAGATTGAGCTTATAAATATAATAGTATACATAGTTTATCGAGTTGCATGACGAATATGGAGTTTTCCTTGCTATCTTAAGATCTAAAACTAGGGAACTTATCTTGTATACAACTGCATAGAGTCTTTTATACCTGGTTTTGACTGTGGTGTGAAGCCTAAAGACCCAGGCTGACCAGCTGCAGAGGGAGTGGACATCACTTGACCGCCAAGAGTGAACCCGGGCTTGGGATCCACCGCGCCTGCTGTCGTTGAAGCCGGCATGGCGAACAGGCTGGCGGTCGGTGCAGCGGTCGTTGTCTGACCTGGGGTGGCCTGTGTTTGTCCAAATGTAAACATCTGTGGAAAGATCAGAAATGATACAATTTTTAAAGATCTACTCTACGTACATACTCTACTCTACTTAAGTTAGAGTTCTACTACCTCCTTCAGGCTGTCATGATTTAAAAAATACATGCATGAAAACACCAGTCTACTACTACTACTACAGTACTACAACTGATGCTGCTACTAACTACTTCATAAGCATGATTTCATGTTATTATAGTTAATGTTTATTTCATGATAAATATCAAGGACCTTGCTTAAAATTATCAAGGAGCTTTAACGTTATATAGGGAAAGCTCCATGCTTAATGCAACATACTAAAATATGTTTAACAGTGGCAAACGACTAGTGTGATATCTTAAGCAAAGGGCCAAGAGTTTGGGCTGGATGGGCAAAGACTTTGGGGTGGAAAACATCCAAGGAAACTTCCGAAGTGACAAAAACTGACATGTGGTAAACGGCTGCAGTGCCCCCCTCCCCTAAAACCTGACATCGAAACTTTACGTAAATTACGTTACCTTTGTTTGGTATATCAGCTACTCATGAGAAATACTCTATTCACTTGATATCAGTGATTCAAGCTCTTCTATCGACGGAGTATTGCCCTCAAATCCTTTTCTTCTTTGACAAAATTATTTGGTTGAAAACAGGAACAGAAACCGCGCAATCGAGTATGCTCGACTGTAAACATAGCCGCTTATTCGTCAGAATCCGAATCAGTAGCTTACCACAGTGGTAGCTTACCGTAGTAGCAAATTCTTCTCAGCCGATTCGAATGCATTTACGTCACTTTCGCCAGGTCCACAGTCTTACTAGTAATGTTGTCACCCGTAAACGTTTATGTGATAAAGTTAGGATGTTTCAAGTATATGCTCCCACTGGAAAGGGGTGGTTTGGTAGACAGTAACACAGTGACCCACGCACGCACGCACACAGACGCGCACGCGCGCACGCACGCACACTGACACCGTACATACGCACACGCGCGCACGCACGCACACACACACGTTGATTTACAAAAATGAGACACGTACAAATGCAATAAACTTTTATTTCCGTGCTATTGCTATATGTATATATGTGCATTCAAACATCTCTTGATAACATGTGTAAGATATTAGGATAATATGAAATGCTATAATATCTCAATACTAAATATCTTATAAATTTCAGGCTCAATAAAAAAAACATAAAAGAGCCAACTTTAAAGTATCTAGAACGCATAACATACTGTATACATGCATAACATCCACCTTAAAGTTTACGTGGCTTTCACCAAATGTACTTAATTTCAGACCGTGCTTATTAAAGTACAATGTTATATCTTGTTACATATATTTCAACACTAAATAAGTACACAAAAATTATTAGCCTAAGTTTGATGCTTAGTTGTCGACACGATGATATCACATAACTGGACAACAATAAAGAAGTTTCAAGTTTTTTTTACAAAATTCCACCACCGCCAGATCTTAATTATCATGATTATTATGTATAAAAAATCTCTTCAGTAACATTTTTATTTCTGATAAAAAAATATAAGAATTTCACACATAAACTGGTACCGTAATGTTAAATTTCGTACAGAAATATCATCAGCTTCGTCACCACATTTATTTTCTTGCGTAGGGAATTGAATATCACTCTTCAAGGCATCGGACATACAATATTCCACAACTTTACAGATATGTACATTTAGATTGTCTCCTTGAAAATTAAACACATTCCTTAACAAAAGCTGTTTCGACCATCCATTTGACCAGTTTTTAATCACACCTCTGTCTCTACCTTATTCTTATCATCCTGTTTGGGATGTTTGGTTGGGTAGACTACAGTGTTTGGTAGATTCTGGTGATTGCCTTCAAGCAACCTGCTAGCTTCTGATTCTTCATCAAAAAGATGTGATTTGCTGAATGTACTAGAGGCTATGTCGGATGCGGAGCTCGAGGTAGCTATAGACAGCTGACTACCAGTAGAGGGACTGGGCGGCCCTAACCCACTGTCATCTGTACTATTGGATACTATCGACTGGGGTCGCTCTTTCAACTTACTCTCAACAAGTAAAGCTAAATCAGAACGCTCGATAGTGGTAAGGATCTGAGCAAGCTCTTCCAAGATTTGGCTACTCGTTTGTTGTCTTTTCAGTCCACGCAGTTCCATGTACATCAGGAGGCAGTGCGTAGGGCTGTCAAACCTTTGATCTAACAAAGTCGTCTCCGAACAGTCGAATCCGAGTTCCTGGGAAAACTGCCTAAAGTCGTGGCCGGTGTCAACTTTTACATCAAGACGCATGAGCTTTTCTTGTAGGTCCTGTGGAATAGCGTTTGGTTGGAATTTCGAGTTACCCCCCGTCAGATAGTACAGGAACGTGGCAGGGGAGGGAGGCTGGTCTACTGAGAGGAACCTGTCCATCACCGAAGGGGATAATTCCCCCCGAGTTCGGTCAAAGCTGTGATCCTGCTCACTAGTACTAGACACCAAACTCAGTGAGAAATCGAACTCAGCGGAGGAGGAATTGGATTTCTGCGAAGCGGCGACGTGGACAGAGGCGCAGGTGTTCTCGGAGACAGCACGCAGGTGAAAGGTCACGTGTTGTCCTTGAGGATTGCTGTTCTGCTGAACAGACGTGTAACCGATCACCTGTTTGTGCTGTGTTAGCATCTCCCAGCCCGCTGAATTTAAACTCATTTTAACCTTGACATCTTTCTCATTACTCAGAAAAGTCATTTCTTTCTGTGGACATGTCGGATGGAAGCCATTTTCGCGTTCCTGTTTTTCAACAAGACTCAGCGACTCGGGAGTGTCGTTAACACAAAACACGTGGATTTCGAAAAACCTGTCTGTCACCAGCCTTGAAAAAATCATGATCTTGACTTGCTTGGCTTTTGCTTTCAACCCAAAGAGGGTGAAATGGGAAGTATACACAAGGCACTCGCGATCACCGCCTTTCATCATGTAGCTAACCCCGCAGCTTCCGTCCATACTAACTTCTCTCCACTTTGGAGCTTCGTCAAGAGACGTCTCACTTACAACAAGTGTGACGTCACTTGACGTCACGTCCCCACAGTGTGGAAAGCTCAGCAAAGCTGGGTTGCGGAAGGAGGCGTGTGGACTGCAGGAAATCACGGGACTGACAAGCGATTCGCCCTTTGCAAGCGGGGGCAGGTACCTGGGACTGTTGAGAACAGCTAGCCCTATGCCAGTGTCTCTTTCAACGCTGTCAATGCAAAGGTAAGCACCCAACGCAGGAAGCCGAAGACAACCACCATCCTCACCAAGCCTAGCTTGTGCAATGTCTACCCAAAGTTTGCTCTTGCTAGACCTGCTAAGCAATTCAGAGATATCAGATACGTTATTACTCCCTTCTACTGTATAACCAAAATGGAGCGGCGACTGAACAATTTCTGTGGGACTTGGCGGGTTGCCACTATCCAATGAGCCGCTTTTCTGATGAGACCACGACACATCGCAGCCTGAGTCTGTACTTAGCTGCTTCCCGTTAAGAGTGGGGATGAAGTCCGTTGAAAGCCCATCTGTAGGGGACGCCCTTTCATTGTTGCCACAGCCAGGAGCGTCGTCGGCCCGAAGTGAACGTTCACAATCCGTCACAGTAGCTCTGTTCGCGCTCCTACGGGAGTAGAAATAGAGATACATTAGCATGGGCAACAATATAGTTCTAGCTGACCAGACACGCTAATGTCGGTTTTGTTGGTATGGATTCTGATCGATCGAATGGTATCTATCTCAACATGCTAGCTCTCCAAAAGTAACGTTATATTTCATAAAGTAAGTTAATGTACTCAAGGCTTGAAATGCTAGGTTGCGTTTGGTTATTAAAGGTTAATAGCCTAGAGTACCACTTCAGAGGAAATCAACTCAACAGAAAGTTGGTTTAGGACTGACCTCGCTTTCCGCAGGCGAAAACTCGCAAATCCCACCACAAAGAAGAACAGAACAGCGGTTGGGACACCGATGAAGATCGGCAGGTGCAGCGTCGCGGCGTCCGCCAGGGCCACTTCTGGGAGGACGGTGGTTCGGAAGGTACTTGTTGTCATGGCACCTGTTGTCACTACCTCTTCCACGGACGACTCGCGTGTCCACATGTGGCTAAAAGCTGATGGAGACAGAGGAAGGATCATTCAGGATCGGACGGCAACTTATGTTTCCATGACGTGGACGTAATAACTAATATGCATTCTGGGATACAAAATCGTAAGCAGCCAGATTACGTAAATGTAAGTAGGTCTACAAGAAGAATCTACAAGTCACATCAGAAGCCACACACCAGAGGCGCAAAGATACTGTAGTCTGCTGAGACTGGACTGATAAAAATACAAAAGGAACGCGGTAGAAACATTACCACAAGAGGAACTATGACACACGTGTATCATTAGTTGTGCTTGAAGCACAAGTACAGAGTCATCTATCTCTAGGTTCCTGTATTAGGTACACTTTTGCCTTGAAGGATTCATTACCGACCATACATTGATCTGCTGCCCAAATCCATCCGTTATATGCTATCCACAATGTCACACCAACTTACATGTACTTTCCCATGCTGTTTCACGGACGCACATCCCCATAAATGCGACGAAGCTGAAACATATTAGAGAGATGGATGTCATAAAGAATGTCGTCAAAACTACCTAAAAATTTGAACCGTAAGTTTCCTCTTCAGTCTAAAATGATATTAAATGTTCTGATGAATATATACTTGGCAGTGCGATGATGCTTAATTATTTGCCACACATTTCGCAGCAATGTCGCCAAAGGGTTGCAAGTTTTGTTCGGTACATGCATGATCGTTTGTTCCCGACACCCGGTAAATTACACCCACTGCCTAATTCATGACTTACCCTGACAGGCAGTCCCCACATGCTGTCTGGGAGGTAGCTGTACACGGCTTCCACTCCGTTCTGTACACGCGGGTACAGTTTAGACACAGGAGACACTCCGTCTGCAAACCATACCCACATGTCCTACTCTTGAATAAGCCCTCCGGACAATCCTGTAGTCAAAACACATGTTTGAATTAGAATATTTGAGGGCTATTGCTATCTTGTAGTGATAATTAAGTTTAATTAAAAGTGTTGCTGGCTAAAAGTTGATATATGTACATGGAGAAAATAAGTTGATATTTTCCATCTTAGCATGTATCAGTTAGTAGCTTAAAATTGTTATTGCATATGTAAACACTGAGCCTGATAATTCCATTATACTACTACTATTGTTTACAGCATGACACACATTTAAGTCCTTCGAGCAATAATTCAATACCTTGCCTATACATGTAATTGCCATTATCCAACTTGTTTTCTATTGATAAGTATTATAGCCAGAGCTAGTTTGAACTTACCGGTTCCGCTGGACACCTGACGCATTGGCGGTGCTGGTCCAGGTATCTCTTGGGCGACTTGCACGTTGCTCGCGAGGAAACCTGTGAAGTATACAGGCGTTTGTTTTATTGAAAACCTGATTATTCATCCCATTAAAACATTACTTGTAAAACATGCTTATGTAAATGTAACGAGACTAAATCCCCCCTGCTATAAAATTACAACATGATGTAACCCAACACCAGTTACCATGGTGACAGACGTCTGGTTCAGGTCATTGACCTTACTGGTTTGGAGAAGAAGAAGAGGAGGAAACAGAGCAAAAACAATATGTTTTCCTTCGGTAAACATAATTAGCACGTCTTTGAAGGGCCATAATTTTGCAGCAGTTTCTTGCAACACAAGACAGTGCGCATGACGTAACATTGTTATAGCAAAGAACAAAAGTTAAGGGCATGGAGTTAAACATGGATCCATGGAAAGGGTTAACAATTGACATTGTACTCACGTGATGTATTGGAACAAGGATAAGAACTGCCAGCTGTAGAAGGAGTTCTTGTAGTTTCACCATTGCCCTTCTGCGTTATGGGACCACCCTGGTACTGAAAAACATATGTGTGAATCACGGTGTCAGAATCTGTCAAAAGTTTTATATGTTGCACAGTTTCTCAATAAACTGGCATTCGATTCAAATTACAATATTTACATAATCTTTGATCCAGAAGGGTGCGGGTATGTCCTCCTGTTATTGTTCCTCCAGTCACGTGTCATGTTGTTGGGCAATGTAATGAGGAAGTAACAGTTGGACACACCTGAGCACGCGGACAGCTCGTGATCAAGAGTTTTACAATCGTTCGTCAAGCTCGTACATGTAAGGGCACGCTTTTGCTGGCCTGACTAATCAGGATACCCGATAGTCCGCTCTTTGAGCGCCGGACAAAGAGCTTGTGTACACAGGCTACGCTTTTGCCAGGCCCGGGGAAGTTTCACAACTTTAAAGGGAGCAGAACACGGTTTTCACCCTAAGGGGATTTTTATAGAATCCTCGCACTTCCTCCAAAGTGAAAAGGTTTGACGCTTCAAAATTCATAATAGGGTGCACAAGCAAGCTACGAAAATTGAATATGTTTGGGTTAAGCGTACAGTCTATATACAAAATATGTGAACTATGTGGGCCGAGAATGGGTGAAATCAGTGTATAATTTGTGACGTGACCCCGAAAACGAAAGATTAACATTCCTTCCTTTGAAAGAGAAAGCATAACATTATGAGGAGTGTTGACGAAATCACATGTTTTAACATTTTCCTCCCGGTCTACGCTACGCATATTTCTCGTGTACTCACCTTTATAATGTTGGGCTCACCGGCCGTGAAGTTTTGCGTGCTGTATCACGCCAGGACAGCACTTGCTTTCTACCTGAGATGATCTGAGATTGGACTGAGGAAAAATGAGTAACACATTTGTCTAAATGGGTGTTACGTGATCACATGTCAAGCATCTGTCCAATAGCAGATTATTTTTTTTGTTGACGTCTCATTAATTAAGAGCATGGCGTCAACTCCGGGATTTCCATGGCCAGGGTACGTGTTGGGGAATCCCCTTTGCAATTTGAAAGACGTGACTTCCTGTCCTGGAACCCCGTAGTTCTGGCACAAAGTAGTGCAGCGCAATACTTGAGAAAGCTGCATGCAGAGATTCTTCAGCGAGGTGAAAACTTTGCTGACTGGTACAGGAATGCATCGGTTTGAATATCGTGTAGTCTGAATTATGATGTTAATTTCGATGCAGATTGGCGCCTGGATTCCATACTCAAGTTACCGCCTAGTACTATGGTGTTTGCTGCTATTCACATAATACCTGCAGTAGGCACTATCAAAGAAGGATACAAGGAACCGAGCAGGCAAACTTAAGCTGATTTTCACACAGATTTGTAGATTGTACCCTGAACCCAAACATTTGTAGTTTACTTGTGCACCCTACTATAAATTTTGAACCCTCTCACTTTGGGTTCCCTGGCTATAGAAATCCCATTAACTGTGAAAACAGTGTTCTGCTGTCTTCAAAGTTGTGAAACTTCCCCGAAGTGATTATCTCCTTAAAGAACAAGTGAGTCATGATCATGGCCAGGTTATTTGATACCCACCAGTTAAATAAGGCCTCCCCTTAACGCGGAACTAGGGTACAAAATTCTGCACAGTCATCGAGGTAGCTAAAAGGTACAACAAAAGTGCTCTAAAAGTACAAGGCGATTTTGAACACTGCTAGTTCATTCTACAGGCAGTTACAGAGAGGATTTTGCTACTCACAAGAGACTTTTCTTCCACTTGTACCGAGCAGTTGACGGTGTCTCAACTCTTGACCGCGGACAGAAGAAACTTCCGCCCGCTGCCTTGATGTCGTCCCTGGCCTAAAAATTACTGATACCTGTAGTCTGATCACACGACTTCTGACCAATCATGTGCAGGAAGACTATCAGTGTGTGGGAGGTGTCTTGGACCTTGGCCACATGACGTCATATGGAAACTCCGTCAGCGGGAAATACCCACCGTTTTAGTTGTGTGGGCACATCAGTTAGCCTTTACCAGGCACCGCGGATCGCTAGAAAAAATAGCAGAAATTGGCCGAAATCAATGGGTCGCATATTGGATCCTCTCTGGCCGGCTAACTCCCCTGGTATACTATCCCTTTATTTCGGCCAATTTCTACTATTTTTCCAGCGATCCGCGGTGCCTGGTAGAGGCTACAGATCAGTTACTTTAATGACAAACTGGCCGTCATGTGTGTACTTTTTCATGTTTTCCTATTTTTCAGATACACACTGTAACAATACAAATAACTACTACTAGTACTTCAAACATTTGCAAGCAAACGCCCCTGTAGATCCCAAACAAGCAAAGCCCAAACTTCGAATTCCGTCCCTTCTTCCTGAGCACGAGAGTTATCTACTCGTACCATCCAAAAATTATGACCCTAGAATATCCAGATCACGAGATATCAAAACCAGAGGTTCCGCTGCAGTACCATAACAAGCCTCTAGGCGGGGTGCAAAATCTAACCATCCAGACCTACCCATGTACCAAATATGAAGGAATGAAGATAATCCATTTGAGCAAGGACATTATACAATGTTCTTGATTTGAGCCTTCTCATGGTGACCTCTAGCAGTGAATGATATAATTGCAGTACATGTTCCCCCTCTGCCGTACTGATGCAGTACTGAAGCTGAATAATAGAGGACGCTTTCCGTGTACGAGATCGAGAATGCAACAAATACATAGCCAATACACAGCCAATCTATCCAGACGCTTTGATTTATTTCGTTGGCTAGCAGACTGACAGTGTCACACACACACACACATGTACACACACGCACGCATGCAAACCCACACGCGCGCGCGCACATGCACACACACGTATGCACACACACACGCACACACGCACGCACACACGTACATGCACGCACACGCACACACACGCATGCACACGCGCGCGCACACACACACACACAAACACACACACACACGCACGCACACGCACACACACACACATGCACACAAATACACGCACGCACAGACAACACATATATAACTTGGTATAGTCTCCATTTTTAATGCAGGTAATTAAGGTGGTACATGTAAGTTAGTAAGTTGGAACAGATACCAGATACTAGTAAGTGATCCAGACGTTCTTGAAACTCTTCAAGATGAAATAACAATACCAAGAATACTAATAACAATACTGCGAACAGCCTCGAGGAAGGCTCGCTACATAATTTACTGAAATGGCTGACTTCGACGTCGTTTCAGACGGTCAGGGACAATGCAGGGTGCGTCCCTGACAATCACAGTTGACCCTGGCGAACTCTTTTGTCCAGTTCCCAGAAAATTCGTCAAGTGTAGAAATATTCGTGTAGAAAGAATGCTAATTGCAATATAAACGTACCAAAAATAACTTGCGAGAACGCCTGCATCGCAATGCTGACACTTGCAGGGCGTGTATCGGACTCGACCTCACGAACTCTTTTTGTCATGTTCCAAGAAAATACATCAAGTGTGAAATATTGGTGTAGCAAGAATGTTAATTGCAATATCAAGAATAACTCTAGAGAACACCAGCCTCACAGTGCTGATACAGGCGGGGTAGGGCCCGTACTTTACAATTACAATTGACCTTTGCGAATTCTTTGGTATGTTTTCGAAGCTGATACAGCTAAATGTGAATAATCATTTAGCCAGAATAGTAACTGGAGTACCAAGAACAATTTGCGGGAACGCCCACTTCATAATACTGCTACTAGCGAACATCGTTTTAGCGCAGGGCGCGTACTTGACATTAATTTTCAACTGGCCTTAACGAACTCTTTTAAGATAAGTCTTCCAAGACGATACAGCTAAATGTGAATAATCGTTTCGCAAGAGTACAGATTGGAGTAGGAAGAACAATTCATAACACTTCATAATACTGATACCAGCGGGTCCTTGACATTTACTACGCCTTGACGAACTCCTTGATATTTTTGGAAAATACATCTAATGTGAATAATCGTGTAGCTAGAATGTCTATGTATGGCAATGCTAACGGTAGGAAAAAACGTTGCGGGAACGCCCGCTTCACAATACTGATACCGACGGTGGTTATTTTCGATGCAGGGCGGGTACCTGAAGCTCGCACCTGACAATAACAATTCACCTTCAAGCTTTCTTTGATGTTTTCTAGGAAAATCCATCTAGTGTGGATAATCGTGTAGCTAGAAGACTACTTACAATAATCTTAAAGGATACTACATGTAAGAATAATTTTGGGGAACGCCCGCTTCACAATGCCGATAATCACAGCTGACCTTGATCAGGGCCTTGATGGACTCAGTGAATAATCGTGTAGCTAGAACACTAATTGCAATACTAAGAAGAATTTTCGGGAGCGCCCGCTTCACAATGCCGACAGGGTGCGTACTCGACATCCAGGCTTGACCCGACAATCTCTTTCGTATTCACGGCGAAAAAATGTAATAAGTGACATCCGAGGACATCAATCTCAATCTTTCTTTGTGACTATAATCGTCACATAAAGTATTTAATATATATGTAAAGTTATCAGGATCCCTTTTGTACTGGGACATGTGTCGGTTTGTGTTCTGACATTTACACCTTGTAAGGACGTACATAAACATACCGATTGCGTATTGAACTGACTTTTCTGAAATAACGTTGATCTATTAGCTGACCTATTCTGTCCAGACTTAGACATTCTACCCCAAGGGTAATTCTTATCTTTACATTGGTATGTTCGATTTTCTTTCAATATTGTGAACCCTATTTCCAGTATGTACCAGGACGTTTTATGTTCAGGCGTGGGTTACATTTAGCCTCTACCAGGCACCGGGAAAAGGCTGAAAAGAGTACAAGTTAACCAGAAAGACAGATAACATTGCAGGGGAGTTAGTCCGCTGGAGAGTATATTTCGGGAGCGGCAAAATGCACTGTAATGTACCAACTCCAGTGGCAAGTTATCTGTCTTTCTGAATTTGTACCCTTTCCAGTCGCTTCCCGGAGCCTGGTAGAGGCTAGGTTACATTGCCGTGGAGTTATTTCATCCTGACTGTTCTTCAGATCAGTTTGACTATAACGAGTGATCTTACTGCTGACCTTAGAAGCGACCTTGTCACCCATGCTTGATATCTGTCAGGGTCGTTAACATGGCACCAAGGTAACACCACCAGACGGGGTGGGGGTGGGGGTGGGGTCTACCAGGCTTCAGAAGTAGCGGGAAAGAGTAGTAAGTGGCCAAATAGACATACAACATGCCAAGGGAGTTGCAAACTGTACCCCTTTCTAGGTATAAACTGTACCAAAATAACAACTCGGATTGCACGGGGACACTTATTTTGCATTACATGTTTGAGACATGTCACAGAGGTCATGTCAGCACATATCAGAGGCTAGGGGGTCTCATTGCATGTTACTCCAAGTTTTCAGCTTCCGAATAGTTTTAAATGCCCAAAGTATGAAATACTGATGCAAATGTGCTAACGGGGACAGTATGTGTCAATATTATACAGATTGCCTTATTCAGAATATTCCAGTTTGGCCACCCTGAAATTGCATTGGATCGCTTTTAATTTATACCCAGTCAGAAGTCGGGAATTTGGGACCACATTGCCCGCTACAACCCTCCAGCCCACACATGTGAATCACCATTCGTACATGGGTGCAAGGACAACAGCGACGCCTTTTATCTGCTCGAGTAAACGCATTAATGTCTGGAGTAAACACGGTAAATGCTGGGGTAAACACAGTAACATGTGTTTCTGTGGAGCTGAGAAGCCGCCAAGGTCGTACCACGGGTACCACGAGCTAAACTCACCCCGTCTATCTTTAGCTTTAAAAGAACCGCAGTGAGAAACTTTTACAGCCTTCAAATCAGGGAAGGATCACATGTAACGTTACCGTACATTCTCATCTAGATCTGCCCAGTAAAGATCATAGATATCTCAAACTTGGCGTGTTGGGCTTTCTCAGTTTTCCCGGTACTGCTATCTAGTTAAACGGCTTCGGGTAGTGTATTGGATACTGCCTGGCAAATTTTATACTACTAGTATCTTACCTCACCTCACCTCACCTCACCGGTCCCATAGCAGTCTGTCCTGCCGTCGGGGCAACTAAACTGTCCACAAGAGTATCTTACCACTTTGATACTAAAACACAGCACCAAAACATCTGCTTGGAGATTAATCAGAAACAGAGGATAAGAGAGGGTACGCCACGGGTAAACTTCCCTCCAAGCAGATATTGGATGGGGATATCGTTACTGCCTCGTTTTCTGACAGTAAAATAAAACACTATTGGGCCCTGTCTAATCCTTTGTTATGAGTTAGCAGAACAACAAGGCAGTCTGCGTGGGAGGAGCATCGCCTATGCAGCTTTACCTACAACCGCTAGATGGTGTGATATAATTAGTAGGCGCTAAGACCCAAAATGCGCCAGTTTTGATGAGCCGAACTTAAGCTTGCAAATACATGTACGTTTCATTATAATGATCCAGTGTCACTTTATCACCAGTGGATGTAGCAGAACGAACGAGCTCACCTCACCAAGGCAGCTATCCAGGCGTCTTCCCTCAGGTCTTAAAAGAGATTTGGGCTTTGGCATATTTTTGGCGTGTTTATAGGCTTTTTATATGGCTTTCCTTTTTGTACTGGTAGATTTTGTTTACTCCAAAAAAGCCTTAAAACACGCCCAAAAATAAGCCAAAGCCCAAACCTCTGCTTGGAGAGTACCCCCAGGTTGTTTTGACGCTGATGCCCCATCATTATATACCGAGTCCGTCATGCTGAAGTCCGACAGGCATTGTTACGGAGCAGCCTGGCGGGTTTTCTCGGTGGTTGATCTGGTCTTGAGTGAGTCACCCTGCCCCAGGCACAGTGACAGACGTGTTAGTATTACCGAGTGGATCCATAAATATCTACCTGAGGAGACGACAATAGAGTCTGGACACAGTTGGACGACAGGTGTGATCTGTGATGGATGATATTTTGCTTCGGGCAAACA